GTACTCTCAGGGCAGGTGACTCCCAGGGCCTGTGTATGTCCCCATGCTGCCCCAAGTTTCCCCCAGCCTGGGAATCTGCCCACACCACAGAGCCCCTGGTCCTGCGTCCACCTTCCCCATACCTGAGACTCCTGGGCCTCAGCGGGGTCCCTGATAAATCAGGGGTCCCAGGCCAAAGTCAGACAGACACCCAAGATTGGAGAGGAAGCGATGGCAACACCCCCATCTTCAGATGGGCATCCGTAGGACACCTTGGGAAAACAGCGAGATCAGAGCAAAGACCAGGCAGCAAAGCATCTAGCACACACTTTATTTTTATTTATTTATTTTATTTTTTATTTTTTTTATCCTCACCCGAAGACATTTTTTTATTTTTTGTTCACATAGAGTGGGAGGGAGAGAGGGGAAGAGAGAGAGAGAGAAACATCGACATGAAAGGGACACATCGAGTGGCTGCCACCCACTGGACCCAACCAGGGCTGGGGACAAACTGCAACCGAAGTACGTGCCCTCAGCAGGAACCGAACCCGGGTCTCTCTGGACCACAGCCCGTCGCTCTAACCGCTGCGCTACATCGGCCAGGGCTCTAGCACACACTTTAGTTTTTTTTGTTGTTGTTGTTTTTTATCCTCACCCGAGGACATTTTTCCATTCCTTGCTCAGATAGAGTGGGAGGGAGAGAGAGGAACGGAGAGAGAGAGAGAGAAACATCGATGTGAAAGGAACACATCAAGTGGCTGCCACCCGCACGACCGACCAGGGCCGGGGACAAACTGCAACCAAGGTACATGCCCTTAGCGGGAACCGAACCTGGGTCTCTCAGGACCGCAGGCCGACGCTCTAACCGCTGAGCCAAACCGGCCAGGGCTCTAGCACACACTTTAAAAGACCCATGTGGGCCCAGCCGGTATGGCTCAGTGGTTGAGCATTGACCCTGCACCAAGAGGTCACTGGTTCAGTTCCTGGTCAGGGCACATACCCAGGTTGTGGGCCTGATCCCCAGTAGGAGGCATGCAGGAGGCAGCCAATCGAAGTTCTCTCCCATCAATATTTCTCTCTCTCTCTCTCTCTCCCTCTCACTTCCTCTCTCTCTAAAATCAAGAAAGAAAAAATATTTATTAAAGAAAATAAATAAGAACCCACGTGGAAGAGTGTAAAAATCACAGCTCAGTGTATTTCCATCCGCCCAGATCCAATTACAGACCGGCGCCAGTATCCTAGAGAGCCTGCTGATTTCTAAAAGCTTATTTAAAAGTATGGTTTTGGTGAATGGGTGAACCATTCACCCGATTCAGAATTCAAAAGGAACAGAAGGGCACAGGGTGAGAATGCTTTTCCTGCCTCAGATACTCAGAATCCCTGCTCAGCTCACCTAGCCTCAAGGTCTGAGGTCAAGCAGGCGCTCAAAGGGACAAAGGAAAGCCAGGCCAGACTCTCCAGGTCCACGTCCCTAATGAGGGCGTTTGTCAGAGGTGGCTGGAGTGGGGCAGTGTGCCCAGGGACAGCAGAGCAAACAACCCATACTCGTTAGACAGCGCTGGACTTCACTGAGCCCTGCCGTCCTGGAAAACAGTGAGACTGAGAACCTCCTGCCTCCTGCAGAGAAGCCCCGCCCCCTCCCACTACGGGACACCGTTCACGCCCTCATTGACCTGTGACCAGGCCAGACACAGATCCTCACGTTCCCTCTGCGCCTCAGCAGTGATGAGCTGAACTGCCCGTCCCCACTGATCCATAGGAACAAAACGCTTGATAACCAAACCCTGGTTTGACTTTTCTCCTTCCCCGGAGCCCTGAACTTGGCCCCCTCAGCCCCAGCCAGCAGACAGCCCCTCCTAACAGGCCGCCTGGGAGAAAACCTTCTCTACCCACCACTCCAGGCTGCCCCCACCCCCACCCCCTTCCCTGTGGAGGAGAGACTCTTCGTCAGCCCCCGAGATGCTGCTGTCTCACGTCACGGTGTTCTCGAAACGGTGACGGCCCACCCCCTCTGCAACGATCCTTTCCAATAGTCTCTCCTTTCTCGTTCCAGATTGGGTTTAGATTTGACAATTCCTTCCCTGTGGAATTCGCAGCCCAACTCTAGGGACTAAGCCGAGCCCAAAAATAAAATAGGAGCAGTTTTCATGGAACAGGTAGGAACCGAGGGCCTCCATCCCGTGGCTTTTTGAGGAGTAGGAGGGGCTGCTCCATGAGGGAGAAATGTCACTGCGACTAGAGGCGTGGGGCGGGGACAGCTGTCAGGTCCAGGGACACGCAGGACACAGCGTGGCCCTGGAAGCATTAGGGAGACATTCACTCCCTAGAGAAATCAGCTCTGTGGGTTGTGCAACCACGTGGGTTTAGTTCAGCACCTTCAAGGTGAAGAGCTGTCCCTGCAGCCCCAGGCAGGGAGGCTGAGTCCAGCCTCGAGTCAGGCACGAGCTGTCGGGGATTGACGCCTCTCTGAGAGGTTCAGGGCTCCATCAGGCATGGGGAGCCCCCCAGCCCGTCAGAGCTTCAAAGGGTTGGGACCATGAGCAGGCCGGACCCATGCTTTGACTTTGGGTCCTGGAGTCCCACTTGGAGGAGTGAGATCCCTCCCGGGGGTCACGTGTCATCACACAGCAGCCTGCATAGAGGTCAACGAGGGAGAGAAAACCTCGGGAACCTCCTGTGCCCCTCTCGCACCCAGAGGATTTGTTCTCCAGTGAAACTGGTCCATACTGGTTTTATGAAGGGCCTGATCACCCAGGACGTTTTATGGGATTTAAGCGTTTCACTTTAATCACACAGTTGAGTTCCTACTTGCAGAATTATGTCACCCCTTGGCTGGAAAAGAAAGAACCGAGTCTTGCTGAAACTGGACCCCAAGACGTGAAAAGGGCAGCATACAACCTGTTGGGTGTGGGCGTGCACACGGGGGAATCTGGGGAAAGTTTCTGGCAGGAGAGCGAAGGTGCTCGGGCCCCAGCGGCACCACTGGGCTCGGACAGCAGCTCTCGGGGTGAGGACCTGCTGCTTCCGCTGGGCGTCTCCCGCTGCCCCAGCTCTGGAGGCTGTTCAGAGGTCAACGAGGGCTCTTTGGAGGCTGGAGAAGGGTCGTATGTTTAGGATGAACGCAAAGGGTTCTGTGCAGAGGCGGGGGGCACGGCCAGAGTTCTTGAGGTGGAAGCATGGATTCCTTCCTGGGGTCCAGGGATACCCCCAGGTTTCCAAGCTCTCCGTCTTGGCCAAGATACCACTCTCATTCCCACACCTGCCCAATCCCACTCTCGTGGTGGTTCTGGCTAATTCCACAGGCAAGGGTGGCTTTGCAATGTCAGAGGTCCCTGCCTCATGGCTGATGGTCTGACCCCACCAAACCCCTTCCCCCCTTCACCAGTTCCACCCACATACATGGTAAATTTGGTGAACCTGGCAGAATTTTCTAAGAATTTGGGGATCTCCTCCTGTTGCAACCAGCATTCCAGTCTTGCCCCCTCCAAACACACATTCCTCTTCATGCACAGTGTTGAGTGTTGAGTGATTGCAGGCTGTTGCCCCTGGCACCCCCGTAATGTGGACATTTCTGTCTCCCCCACAATCCCTTCCTCCCCTCTGTCTCAAGCTCTCTGTCGTCACCCCCGCCTTTTCTCTCAAAGGAAGACCTGGGACAGACAACTCTGCGGGCCACACGTGTGGGATGGCTTGTTTGGGTCGGTGCGAGAACTGTCCTTTCAAGTGTCCAGACCCTTTTCCATCAGCAGCAGTGGAGGGAGAGTTCGTCCCCGAGGTGGGGGAAGGGCTGGCTGCTGGATCCGGGGCTGCTGGATCCGGGGCTGCAGAACGGCCCTGATGAGGTTCCCCATCTTTCATTGTTTTCCAAATGCGTGCGTGCCAGCGGAAGTAGGGTTATAACACACTTCCCCATGCATGGTGGTCCGTGAGTCACAGAGCTGCCCCTGGAGTTTTTCTTCAGCCAGGCTTCTTGCAGTTCTAGCAGGAAGTGGATGCCTAGGTAGCCTGGGCAGGAGTGAGGCCATCATGGGCACCTGACCCACCGGGGCCGTGGGTGCAGCCAGTGCAGGCAAGCTTCCATCAGCCCTGGCCCCCTGCCACTGGGGCTGAGTAATCCCATCTCCCACCTGTAGCTCCACCCCCCACCCAGCCTGCAGGGAGGGGGAGAATTCCTCCAGGTGCTCATTTGGGGGCCTGCCTGGCTTTGGGGTCCAGTATGCAAGGGGCACTTGATTGGGACCGATGGACCGTGGTGTTCTCAAGTGGTGGCAGCGCTGGGACCTGGCGCTCAGGGGCCCTCTGCACACTGTGGGTGGCTCTAGGTGGTACTTCCTGCCCCGAGCCTGTTGGGTGGCCCCAGTGCCTGAGGGAGTGGGAGCCCCTTCTGTGGACACCCAAGGCTCCCAGTTCCAGCCTTTCTGTGCTGGCACCCTGGCCTGGGTTCCTTTGACAGTTACGGTGGTCGGTCCACTCACCCTTGCTGTGCCACCCCCAACACCCACCCCATCCGAGCACACCCACGTCCCGCCTGTCCTTGGGGCCCCAGTCAAACACCAAAGTGAGAGCTGTCAGTGGAAGGGCTGGTGTGGCTCAGCCCAGTCCACCTCGGGACCAGACTCTCGGGGGTGTCACAGAAATGACATCCAGCCCGAAGCTGGTATGTCTCCTCCCTGACCTCCTGGTACTGGTCTTGGCAGCAACCAGTCATCTGATGGCCTGTGGCCAAGCACTTCCCACTCAGGGCCTGGGACACTCTCTCCACTATCCTCTGGTCTCTCTGTCAATGCCCCTTCGAAGAGGTAGACTGAACTCCCACTCAGCCCCTTGCCTCCCTCCCAGCCTTCATCACCGAGTGTGTTATCAGGGGCCGGAGCATCCTTTTCGGCCTCCAAGAGGTTGTGTCCGTGAGTGAGCGAGGTGGGCCAAGAGGCACATGACCAACCCTCTCCAGGGGAGTCACCCCCAGGAACATTCCCACTCCCAGAATTTGGCGCTGAAGAACATGAAGGCCACCAGCAGTATTTGTAATTCTGATCATTTTTCTTTAAAAAACTAAACAAAACAAAAAAACCCCACACATAAAGAAAACAGAACTCCCCACCCCTAACCAGCCAAGTGTTACAGGTTAGCCATTCACACGAGAAGAGAAAGAGATGTGGAAGCCACACCGTGGTCTTCGGCCCGGCGATGACAATGCACGTGGACAGCACTGATGGGGACATGAGACAGCAAAGACATGCCGGAGAAGCCAGGACGAACTGACCCTGCAAATAAATAAACACGGCGCGAACAGCATCCTCGACGTTAGTGGGACCTCAGGACAAAACAGAACAGCCGAACATCTGGACAAATGCTTGCTGGTTACATCAAGGTTTGGTTAAAAAAAAAAAAGAAAAATTAACCCCCACAAATGTGAACGCTCAGGACACTTGTCAGTAGAATGGTCAGATAGAGAAGTCTTGCCCCTCCTGATGCCGACACGGCAGGGCCCTGGGGTGTCTGCTGGCGAGCACCTTGGGATGCGGCCCTGGACAGTCCCTGTGTCTGAGGTGGGTGCCCGGGCTGGGTTGAGTCAGGAGGTACAGCCCTAAGAAACACAGACTGGGCGCCCTACCCGCCTTCGGCAGAGGTCCCCGCCCAGATGCTACGGAGAACCACACTTCAGGGCTACCTTTGACCTCTCAGGGCCCACTCCAGCCCCCACCTCAATGTGGAAAGGGAACCCTGGGGCCCCAGTGATCCCCTGCAGGGGTAACACTGCCTCAGTCCCCCATGACACTCACCGGGGGTTCCCACGCCTGTCTGCAGGCTGCCGAGGAAGGCCTCTGGGGAGGCCACTATGGTTGGGACAGGGCCTGGCTCCCCATATCCCACAAGGCCCAAGTGCCCCCGGAGCCGAGGCGGTGGCAGCAGGCCGAACGGCCACTCGAAGCTCGTGTGGCCGAGCAATGAGGCCTGGTGCCCGAGAGCTCAGTTCAACCTCCCACTGGGGGAACGTAGGTGGTCAGAGGCCAAGGCAGAGCCGCCAGCACCTACGACAGGAGCCTGGAGGAAGTGACGACTCGGGGAAGCCAGCCAGCGCCCAGACCCGCTGGCCCGGCCTCAGCGGCCCCCTCGGGGGGACACCACAGGAGCCACAGGGACAAAGCCTGCTAGCACAGCCGGTCTGGAGAGGCAGGGTGGCCTCCGGAGCAGGTGCAGAGTTGGAGCAGTGAGGTAGGCTTGGCTCTGCCTTCTGCTGATTGGAACGGAGTCTGGGACAGGCCATGTCGCTGGCGGGCGGGGACAATGGCGTCCCGGCCAGGAGCTAGGAGCCAGCCCCGGACAGCCTGTTGGGGTTGCCACCCAGCCATCCAGCCAATTCTGTGGACCCTGGGAGGGGCTGCCTTGGGGGACCTGGATGAGAAGCCCGTCAGGGGTCTGTGTCTGCCTTCGTGTCGCATCTGTTTCTAGGTCTCAAGCCTGGGGCTTTGTCTGAGAGAAACAGAGTTGGCTCCCAAACTGAACACAGAACAGGTCGGGAGGCTGCATTACCTGCAGGCCAGGCCTGGTGTGCTGCCCACTGCCTGCCCACGGGAGATGCCAAACCCTCCCGTCTTTGTGCCTTTGCTCAGGCTGTCACACAGGGCGAGACGCACAGTCAGGAGCCCCGTGGCATCCTGAGTGACCAGGGTCTGGCCCCGCCCTGCACGTCCTGGAGGGAGCTCCGGGATCATCCAGGTGCCCATGACCTCCACCAGGAGCTCCACCAGCCACAAACACCTGGCACGGGAACCACTTTCTGTGGAGCTGGGGCTGTCGTCAGAATAAGCTCAACTCTTCTTCTCCTGCAAACCTCTCCAGAGATGGCCGTTTCACTGAGACTTTCTCTTCTTTCTAGGGGTCAGGGAGGGACGGATCTACCTCAGGTCTTTAAGGTAGAGACGTAAGCCCAGGGTTAGTTTTCCCAATGTCGCTACATCTATTAACAAAAAGAAAAAAAATAAGGAAGCCAAGCACATGTCTGTCGGTGCGAGCCCGCTCTCCATACTCCGAGGCCGTGTCTCCGCGGCTCATTGGCAACTGGAGTGTCTGGCTCTCAGAATCCCTCCCCCGAGGCTGCCTGCAGGTGGCGCTGGGGGTCTCACCTAATGACAGGACCTGGTCCCTGAGGCACATCATGCTGCTGGCAGTGTTAAGGGACAAGATTCTCCCTGCCTGCCCTCCCAGAGTTCTTTAAAAAATAATCATCTTGGTGGTGTCAACTTGACCCAAAATTTAAGTTAAAAAAATAATACAAATAAACAAAGGTTAGAAGGGACAAGGGCCCAACGTGGCAACACGTCCAGGTCGGTCAGAGGGCCCAGCCTCTTCTCAGTTCGACATTCGTGCCTCACTCTTGAGGAGGTATTGATGAAAGGTCGTCTTCTGGGACTCAATTCGTACCAGTTTTCACAGTGGCCCCGGCACCCGACCTGGCAGAGGGATGGACGGGCGCTCAGCTGAGCTGCCTGGATGACAGAACGGGTGGCTTCACAGGCGGGCGAGTTGGTTTACAATGATCGTTGAGCGCTTTCCGTCTGCCAGCTCCCGGCTCTTCTCCCTTACGTCTCCTGGGGGACCACTTGCATGAGCTTCTGGCAAAGGACCGTCGTGGAAACTGCAGGGGAGGGGACAGCAGCGTTACTCCGGGGTCCCGCGATCGCATGCCTGGGGGCCAGGGGGCACCAGAGCGCCGTGACCTGCAGCTCACCCGGCCTCAGGACACCGTGACTTCCACGGTTGCAAGAGAAGCCAGAAACCCAGAACTTTACGTGAAACCTCCCGACCTGACCATGTGTAGCCTGGGCCCGGGAGCCTCCCTCCTGGTGGGCACCAGCCTCCACTCCAGGTTAGCTGCAGAGAGACGCTGCGTCTCTTCCAGGACTTTGTAAGACACCTGGGGGGTGTGGCCAAGGAACTTGGCAACAGGCTGAACACTGGTCCTGCCCTTCACCCTGTCTCAGAAACCTGGGGTCATGGAGCAATAATGGGATAATAAGTGCCGATGCTGACGGACTGTTTGAGGGGGTCCTTCCTGTCTGTCCACACTTGGCAGACACCCAGGACGAGCAGCGAGGTTGCCCACCACTGCCAGATGACAGCTACAGGCCTGCAAGGGGGCCAGGTGAACACCTGTGGGGGTTGATTTCAGGACAGAGGGCGCTGCTTGAGGGCCTGGGTGTATTCTGCAAGATTATTAATAGGGAGTCTAGTCAGGGCTGGAGGCTGAGGTCTGCTGAAATGACTGACAGTGTCAGTCACCGGGCAGGGACCAACCAGAATTTGGAGATGGCCGTCCTGGGGCTTTTACAAGCCATCCAGGACATGGTGATTGGGATGCAGACTTGCAAACAGCCGTGAGTTTTCCAGGAGCCGGGCCTCTTAACAGAGGCCTCAGTCCAGGCTCCTGAACCTGGCTAGTCGGTTGGTCCTGTGACCACAGTGCAGAGATCCTGTTTTCTCCTTCTCTGCCTTTCTAGGTCAGCCTCTGTTTAAGCTGGCGACAGGCAGTGGGGTTTTGTTACTTGGCAAAAGCAGCCTGGTTTTCTGGAATCCCTTGTTCTGAGATTAGCTGGTGCCAAGCTGAGCGTCTTATCCCTGAAATACTGGGCCAGACATCGGCGCCAGACACGCCAAGTGGCTAAACCCTTGGTCAGCACTGTGAACACCCCCTGCCCCCCGCGCCGTCCCCTGGCTATGGGATTAGATAATAGCAGACAGGCTGCTTCGAGGTGGAGAGAGGCCCCGGCTGCTGGGCTGCGCTGGGGAGATACTCACAGATGCCCTGGAGGAGCCACTTGGGCTTGTTTTTCCACCAGACCCCGAGGAAGTAGACCGGCAGGCCGCTGAGGATTATGCCAAAGCCAATGCCACACTCCACGGGGGTCATCCAAAAGGAGACGGCGATGAGGAACAGGCAGGCCAGGATGAAGAACACGGGCAGTGCCAGGTTCACCTGGGGGCAGAGGGCGGGCGATGGGCAGTCGGCGTCTGTGCTCCCTCCCTACACCCCTCGTGTCCTAGCCTCCCAGGTCCCGTCCGCCCCGCTGCAACTGCTGTGTCCCCACCGCTCTCCTGACCTTGGTGGGGTTGTCTCCCCGCTGAGGCCCACTTAGCTTCTCCCATCGGACCCCCCAGAGCACACCCCGTGCCTCCAGCTCCCAACCCAGGCCTCCTGTCCGGTCCGAGAACTGCTCTGACCTCCCAGCTGTCACTTGTGCCTGTGTCCCTCTTCCAGCATTTACCAAGCCTGACCTATGCCGGTTTTCTCGGAGTCAGCCTCCCGAGAAGCTGGGGTCTCTGGAGAACTGAAACCTTCCCCTGTTCTCCGTTGACTCAGCACCGGGCGCCAGGCAGCCACTACCCACAGCACAGACGGTGCCGACAGTAAACGCAAACAACCCGGTTGGTCCCTTGAGGCCTCCCAAGGTCAGGGGAGGCTGACCTTGCTGGTTCCCACATCACAGGGCAGAAACCCTGGCCCAGCATCTGCCCACAGTCACCCAAGGTGGGGGCACCTCTGGGAAGACCACTGCCACCCACTAATAAGTGAGGGGCATCGCCTTCCCGGAGAGCCTTTGTGGGTCGGCTGACTGCAGTCTGCACACCATGGGCAGACGGACCCAGCCACAGAGCTCAAAGCAGACCAGCCAGAGGTGCCCCCAGCCCAGCCTGGCTCCAAGGACCATGTCCTGCTTCTGCAGCTGGGTGGGCCTGTCCACACACGGGCAGGAGGCCCTAGAGGCAGGGCAAGTGTGAGTCCCATCCCGTCAGCTCTCACTGCCTGCCCCCCCCAGCCCAGGCTGACAGTGCAACAAGGCCCCCCACGTGCCCAGGATAACATGGGCACAGAGTCCACCACCAGCAGGGAGAAGGTGGTCCAGGGCACGAAGTCTGCCCTGGCACCTAAGGGAACTGGGCCCTGCTGCCCCTGTGGGACTGGGTGGGGGAGACAAGGACGTGGCTGTGGACAGGTGCCAAGTGTGATGGTCAAATGCCACTAGAGGCTGGACAAGGGACAAGAGCCACTAGTCAGAGGCCACTGTGAGTTCCTCCCTCTAACTCCCGACATGAGTCCCAGACGACGTGCTCACTCGACTTTTCCAGCAGGAGCATGGGCTGCACCAGCCCCCCTTTCTGGAGAAACGAGGTTTCTCTGGGTAGCTGGTCCCGGGCTGGGGTCAGGAGGGAGGTGTGTCCACCTTCAGCCAGGCTCGTGCCCAGGCTGCCTGATGCTGGGACTCCTCTTCAATGAGGCAGGGCCAGCCCCGGGCGTGTCCACGCCCTATGGGCTCCGTCACCTCCTACCCGCCGCACACGGTCTCCCCCACACCCCAGCTGCTAGCACCCCCTGAACACACATGGCCCCACATCTCTGCCCATGTGCCATCTTCTCAGGACCACCCAGCCACCTTGGTCAGCTGCCCCTTCAGTGCTTACCCCTCCCCCCGGGCACTGTAGGTTTCTTCTTTACTGCTTCTCCCTCTTGTTCAACTATCAGCTCTAGGAGGGCAGGGATTGGGCGGGTCTATTTTGTTCTTTGATGAACCCCAGAACTTGGAATCACCCTCTCGGCAGGTACTCAAAAGGTTCCCAATAAACAGTCATCAGCTGATTCATCACCCCCATGTTGGTTGAGTTGGGAAGCAGTGACATATTTATCTTGGTAGGTTCGCACCAGAACCCTCTGCAGGAGGCATCCTGGTTCAGAGGGGCTGGCAACTCAACAAGGGACGGTGGCCTGCCAGGCACATGCCGGAGGGGCAGAACCAAGAAGCTGTGTAGAGCTGGCCCCCAACACAGGGCCCCCAGGGACACGTGGACCCTGTTTCTCCAAGCCCCCAGCCAGCCCCCAGCCAGCCCCGTGTGCGCCCGCCTGGGCTGTCCAGGGGCTGGGCCCTTACCTTAATGGGCCGCTCCAGCTCCGGCTTCTTGTAGCGGAGCCACAGCATCCCGATGATGGCCAGGGCCACACACAGCCAGTTGAAGAAGCTGAAGAAGTTGATGACGGAGAAGATGTCGCTGGAGAAGGCGTAAAGCAGGGTCATGATGCACTGCAGAGAGACAGGGCGGTGTGAGCCCCTGAAGGGCCTGGGCCGGAGCCGGGAACAGGACAGCCGGGGCGACGGAGGCCACCCCGGCGCTGGGCTATGTCTGCGGTGGGGGAGGACAGCACTTGCCTTAAAGGAAGACCTAGTGAGAGTAACACATAAGTTCTCAGAAAGCAAAGGCCACACCGGGAGCGGGTAGGGAACAAAAGCCTACACCCGACACCCACTGCGGCATCATTGTAAGAACAGTGGCTGGGAACCAAGCTCCGTGCCCATCACGGGGCTCATTTACGTCAGCCACAGACCTCAGGCCACCGGATCCACGTAGCTGTCTCAAAGCTGAGCTCGGGCTCTGCATGTCCCAGGATCACCTGGTACTTCTCCCTTCGAGAGGCGGAGCTTAGCCCTCTCTCCTGGAGTGGAGCTATCCCTACTGACTCCCTCCTGACAAACAAGACGGAGATGACAAGTGTGACTCCCGAGGCTAGGTCACAGAAACACGGTGGCTCTCTCCTTGCTGTGTCTCTCAGCTGCTTCACCTTGGGTCGGCCAGCTGCCTTGTCGTGGTTCACGCAGCCCTGTGGACAAGCCCACGTCCTACGGAACTAAGGCCTCCTGCCCACAGCCACATGCGGCATCCAGGAAGCGGCTCCTCCAGCCTCGGCCAAGCGCTCAGATGGGACGGCAGCCCCGACCACCACCTGGTTACCACCTCCCGAAGGACCTGGACCAGGGCCACCCACTAAGCTGCTCCGAGTTCCTGACTCACAGAAACCAAGAGATAACGAACGCTTTCCGTTTAAGCCACTAAGTTTTGGGTGATTTGCCACACAGCAATAGAGAACTCTAACATCGGTGTGCCGGCATGGAAAGACATGACAAGCTGGAGAAAAACGCACAGTGCTCTCCCCGAAAATGCTACACTGCATGCATTGCACATCTGCTAACACCCCCGGGCTCCGGAGAGGCACGGAGCACACCAAGCTGCCCATGAACCGTGGCCCCCTCGGGGAACGGAGCTTCTGCTTCACAGATGCTGGACTGTTTGAAGTTTTTTTAATAACTACCGTGTATTATTATTGGAATTAAAAACTTTAAAAAAAAACAAACCCAGCTCCCTTTGTTGTCTAGTGGGGCACGCAGCGAAGGAACAATACCAGGAAATACTGCTAACTTGTCTGCATCCTGGCCTCCGCCTTGGTCTGCTGTCCAGGTGACACCAGGTGACGCTGGGAGGGCACCATGCAGATGGACCCTGCAGCCTCACTTCCCGCCCCGAGCCCCGTGGGACATCCCCAGCCTTGCCCTCTAGCCTGCTCACAGTTCTCCCGGGGAAGGAGGGCATCGGATGGCACTGCCAGCTTACCGTGAACAGGAGGGAAGGCATGGGCGTCAGGAGCTGCGGGTGGATCATGGAGAGGACAGAGGGCAGGTGGCCCTCCCTGGACCCCACAAAGAACAGCCTGTGGAAAGGAAAACAGATGGTCAGCCTTATCCTCCAGCAACCCAGGCAGGGTGGGGAGTAAACAGTGCCCGTGCCTTGGGGCTGGGCTCCCCGACAGGGGCTTCTCCATGGCCCTGGCGGACTCAGCTGGCAGCGGGGAAAACTCAGCATCTTGCTCACCTCCGGTCCCGCCCCCTCCCCGGGCAGGGTGCACGACGAACCCATGAGAGAGTCTAGAGGAACACAGAGGCTGTGTCATTTCCGGGGAGAGGAGAGGCCGTGGTTCCTTTATTTCTGTATTACTTGAACACTTTGACAGCTACATATTCCTCAATATAGCAAACCACAACTTTAAATTTTTTAAAAGAACCAAACCCGGGACTCTCTGGACCACAGGCCGACGCTCCAACCGCTGAGCGAAACGGGCCAGGCACAAACCACAACTGTTAAAGCTCACGTTGAGCAGCAGCACTGGGCCTGCCCCGGCTCCACAGAGCCTGAGGGTGGGAGGGTGGTCCTGGGCGGGCTCACCTAGAGGACGTGAAGAGGGACCCGTTGACGGAGCCGAAGCAGGACAGGCCCACGAAGACGGGGATGATCCAGGACATGACGCCCAGGTGGTAGTTCCCGAAGTCCTAGGAAGATGCCAAGCATGAGTGAGCCCGAGCCCCGCGGTGCACAGCACCAGGCCCTGACTCCCCCCCTGGACAGCGGGCCGTCCTCCCGGCCCAGCCCGGCCCCCCTGTCTGCACGCCCGCCCACACACTCGTCACGAGTGCCTCCCGGATGTCTGGACCGTGGAGGGCTATCCCAGGGACAGTCTCCTTCAGAACAGCACTGGTGCCCACTCATCCCCACACTGGCACTTCCCGCGGGCACCCCTCACCCTGCGGCACACCAGGCTGACCAGGTGTCCGGTCTCTCTCCCCATCCACATGGCTGCCCCACAAGGGAACACCGTGCTGTCTCTGGGTGGGCTCCATCGCCCGCCCAGAGCAGGCTCAGTGAGTAGCATGCAGAAGGGAGTGGGTGGGCACTGACCGTCACCTGCCGACGTTGCTGGTGAGGACACTGTGGGAAGTGAGCCTACGGGATCCCCGCAGGGCATTCAAAGCCCCTGGTTCTACTCAGGGCTCCAGTTTGGTTTGGGAGGTCAACACAGTGCTCAGCTGCTGCCACCGGGGGGCCTGGGGACGCTGCTCTCCCTCTTCTGAACCCCAGGTCCAGTGGCTCGGGGTGTATGTGGGCAGTGGGTGGGGGAAGGCCACCCAGCCTTTCATCCCTGTGCTCTGGGTTGCCAACCTCACTCACGGGGTGGACCTTCCAAATCACCACAATGGACTCCCCCACCGCAGACATACTGACTTAAAACTGGCCCAGGCATGGCTGGGGCATCAGCACTTCCAAAGCCCTTGGATTCCCACAGGCCGCCAGGGCACAGCTCAACCCTCCGCGCAGAAGCAGGTTTGCACATGAGGGGCCTGGTCCGGCCACATCGCAGGCTCAGAGGTGGCAGGGCTGGCCGTGGTCTCTCAGCAACCCGGGCAAACACTGGCAGGTGGCATCTTACCACGGCCACGGCCTCTGATGTCAGCATTTGCTCAGTGGACAGCGTGGTAAAGTAGGCCAGGTTTGTCAGCACGTACACCAGGGTGACGATGGGGAGGGAGATGATGATGGCCAGGGGCAGGTTTCTGGAAGGAACAAAAGGGCACATCATCAAAGTGCGATTCCGGCCGGAACCAGTCCTGATAGCCCTCTGACACACAGGGGCCCGGGGTCGAGCCTCACTGCCGGGGCAGGTGGTGAGCAGAGACACTGTCACCAGCACCGGTCACCAGCCGGAAGCCAGCGCCTGGGACAGGGCAGCTGGCGACTCGACCCCGCTGGTCTCAGCTCCCCGTCGGCCCAGCGGGCGTTCCTGCTTATTCTCAGGGGGACTCTTGTTCAAGGTCGCACAGCCGTGTGTGGCCGGTTTGAGGGAAAAGCCAGTGCCCCTTCACCCCAGCAGGACCCTACCCCCACGGCCCCTCCCGAAAGGCCCTGCGCCGCTTTCATCTGAGCTCGGCTTGGGTCCACGGACGAATTAGGCCACATCGGCTTCTTCCTTCTCTTACATTCAAATAACAAAAAGAAGTGTCTCTGTTCACACACGTACCTGTAGGGGTTGATCATCTCCTCTGTGACAAAGTTCAAATAATTCCTAGAATTTAAAGAGCAGAGTTTAATTCTACATTCCTCCCGGTCACGAGGGGGGGAAGGGACAGATTCCCTGGGGAGCCCCTGCTGGCTGCTCCGGGTCAGTGGGAGCTGAGCCCTCACCTGGGGTCCCTCTGGGTGACCAGCTGGGGCCGAGGGCACAATCCTGCTTCCTTGGGACCATCGTCGCCCCAGCAGGTCTGCCCCCCTCCACGGGCCACGTCCTGTCTCTGACCTGCCTTCTGGCACCTTCACCGTCCACCCGCCCGCCCGCCACGTGGCAGCTGTTCCTGTGGCCCAGTGTACAGCAGCCTGAGCGCGGGGCCACAGCTGGGGACCCAGCGGGCTGGGAAGGGGCGGGGGAGGGGCTGTAGGTAGGCATTTCCCCTCGTGGCGAGGAAGAGACCCAGGCCACCAGGCCCAGCCGTTGGAGCTCAAATGCTTCGCTCCCCTCAGCAAAGGTGTATCTACAGGGCCGCCTTCTCCGGTCAAGACACTGGAGAACAGCACCGTGGGCCGCGGCGGTGTCCTCTCTGTGCTGGTCTGGGATACGTGGAGGGGGCTCGCACAGCTCTGAGGGTCTCCTGCCGCTCTCTACAAGTGCCGTGGGTGGCCGAGAGATGCGGATCTCTGGACACCTCAGGGCCTGCTCCGGTTTCCCAAGGCCCAGAGACCCAGACATCCTGGAACGTACCATCCCCCATAGGCAAAGAGGCCGCTGTATAACGCCAACACGATGTTCCCCACGTCCAGCTTGGTGCCTTCAAATGAGAACTGGGGATCCAGATTGGATACATCACCTGGCAAAGGCCAAACAGACAGAAAGGCGTGTTGCGTTAGAGTGTGCCACGACAGAGATCATGCCGCAAGTTCCAGAATGTTCCTGGAGCAAAATATATAGTAACAAACAAAAATACTGGGGTAAAAGCTTCCCACTGTGACAAATTAAATGCACCTGCTGAACCACCGACACACACGCTCCTGACTCACCCCGGGGCCGGGAGCACAGGCAAGGTGAACACGATCTTGCCGTGACCTGGAGGAACGTTGCCTTCAAGGCCCCCCCGCCCCGTCCACCCGGGAGGGGGATGGCAGCTCTGTGGATCCTCGGCCGTCCTGAGTGCCAGCAGCCCGGGCAGATGCAGGGACATGTCAGGAGGGACGGGCTGATCAGCCCTGGTCACCTCAGAGCGTGGTCCCCGCAGATGCCATGACATGAGCCTCAGATCAGGGGGACCTGGGTCTGAGCTTTACTCTGACCCTTAGTGCCCAGAGAAGCAAGAGCTGCTAAACCCGATCCAGGCTTCTCACGTGGGTGATGGAACTCTTGAATGCCGCCTCCTCGAGGCCGCTGTGAGCACAGAAAGACCCGACGGTGACTTAGACCGTGGACGCCTGCACTTCACAGCAGCGGCGGGGGTCTCACGGCAAACACTGCAGCGGCGGGGGTCCCACGGCAAACACTGCAGCGGCGGGGGTCCCACGGCAAACACTGCAGCGGCGGGGGTCCCACGGCAAACCCTGCAGCGGCGGGGTCCCTGTCTACCGGTCCATCTTATCCTGGACGCCGAATTCTGTCCCGGAGCTTATTTGTCCCAACCCTGCAGGTGTGCTCAGGCCTTTGATCTCCCGCCTGAGGTGGGGATGAATATAGATCCACAAGCTCCCCTCACCCCGCCTACAAGGCCACGGTCCTGTGACCAGAACAGGCTCCAGGGTAGTTGGCACTTAACTCCTTGAACCGCCTGCACATGATCGGTCTCGGAGGCCGGGTCCCAGGACCGCCTGGTCACAGGGTGGTCAGCAGGCCCAGGACCGCCTGGTCACAGGGTGGTCAGCAGGCCGGGTCCCAGGACTGCCTGGCCCCAGGGTGGTCAGCAGGCCGGGTCCCAGGACTGCCTGGCCCCAGGGTGGTCAGCAGGCCGGGGCCAGGACTGCCTGGTCACACGGTGGTCAGCAGGCTGTGTGGGTAGGGGCAGTGCTTGTAGCCAGCTCAGGAAAGTATACCCTTTAAGAGCCCCTCGGGAGAGCTCCTGTGTGCTCCCTCCCAGCTGCTCTCCAATGGAATGTTCTGGAATGTGCATTCCTTTGCATCTGCAGAGCCCTGCCTGTCCTAGGCCCTTGCCCACATACTTCTGTGGGGAGAAAAGAGGAGCACCTGTCCTACAATCAGAGAAACTGGGGGTCATGCCACCTGCTCAGGGATGTGGGAACCTGCTGGCATGCAGTTGGTCTGCGACCATGAGGCCCATCCTGTAAATGCCGGGCCAGCTGATGGGTGTCCCCTCTGGGCACTGCATGCATGAGCCAGAGGCCATGCCACCCCAGAGTGCTACAGGAGCTCCTAGAGTCTGGAGGAGCTGCCCAGGACTGCTCCTGCTAGCCTAGGTCTCCCAAAGATGACATATCCCACCCCAACTCCCCCGCAGGGTGCTGCTGGGTCCGGCTCTTAGAACTACCTCTGGAACACCGAAGGTCTTTCATGACAAAGGTTCCTTACAAGTATGCTGGCCTGTCTTGAATTGATCATTTTCTCATTAATCGGCCCCATTTTCCTATTAGGATATATTTTATACCTCCTATTTATTATTTCAGATTGGATTTCTTTTCCCATAGGCTGGAATACGTATTTTGGTGCAGTTGTGAAAACTGGCTTTCACCTCAAGCACGATCTTGAATTAATAACACTGTGTGTGCGTGTCTGTGTGTGCGCACGCGTGTGTTGGAGACACGGCCACACGGGGGGTGGCTGTCACAGTTGCTGAGGGTAAAATTCCAGGCTTGAAATGCAGCCTAGGACTTTCAGGTAAGGACGGAATGTTTTCAGCCCCAAGGCCGGGATGGAGTCAATGTTTTCACCAAGGGATCACCAACTGGGCCTTCTGACGGTAAATGCCATTCTCTCCCTGAGGCAGTCACGCTGGGGACAAGAATTCCTGCTGTGGAATGGTGGTATTTCCTCGGATTTACAGCTCGATTCTGCAGCCTCTGAAACCCCAGGTAGATAAATACGACTAGCTGCTCTGACCAGCGCAGACGAAGCGTCTCACTGGGCTGTACCTGGGCCTCAGCCAGACCACAACCAGCCCGTGATGCTTCTATTCCTGGGACAGGTGTGGCTGGGCAACCTGCAGGGACCTCCCTCGGTTGCCCAGGGCCTCGCTCCCCAAGGCCCTTGGAGGAAAGCAGACATCCAGTGCCTCTGGTCCCCCAAACCTTGACCAGCTGGCAGCCCGCCCCCGGCTCCCCAGGCAGGGGGTGGGCTGAGGCGAGGTGCGGTGGAGGGCTGCTAAAGGTCAGTCAAGGACTCCGCCGTGTTGGACCCCAGTCCACCTGCTGCAAGTCCCCCTGCGCTGCCCCCCTGCCTGTCACCTCACTGCTTCCCTCCTCACACAGGCACAGTGGCCCCACTGAGGGCCAGGCACAGAGGGAGCGACCCGAGAGTGAACTGTCTGAGAGCAGCTAGCTCACATGTGCACTGTGGCTGAGCTCCTGGGTTTGCTCGGCCTGTCTGTGCCGGACTCTGGCCCAAATCAGAGACCCACAGCTCCACTGGGCACCTGACCAGATGCTGGCTGAGCGAGCTGCCCCCTCAATGGGCGCCATGTCCGCCGGCTAAGCATGGCACTCGGCCCGGCCCACATGGGGCTGGCACAGCCTGAAGAATCTCAGGGGTGACAGCTCAGGGCAGCTCAGGGCTCTGTCTGCTCTTGCCTCTGGGCCGGAGGACCGCCTGCCTGTCTCTAGGGGAGCGAGAAGCAAGGGAAGGAGCCACACCTCACCCAGTGATGTGCATTAGCAGTGGCTCTGTGCCCAGCGGCCCCCAAGGAGGTGAGACAGGAAGCAGGGCCTGTCCCCGGAGGGTCCTCTGAACTCTGCACAGCGGCTTCCAACCGCCTGCCCACCCCAGCAACCAGGACACATGCAGTGTCGTCTGGAGACACTAGGGATCATCACCCTGGAGTGGGGGTCCTCTAGTAGAAAGTGAGGGGTGGCACTTGACATCTTGCAATGCACAGGGTGCTGAATGACTGCAGTTCCCCAACGCAAACTCAAGCCTCATGCCCTCCCCCTGCCAGTCACCGGGAAGGCAGGGGTCTGGGGACCCCAGGACCCCACAGTATGACGCTGATGGCTCCTGTCACACTACAGAGTCCCCTTTGCCACCACCTCTCTTCTGAAACTTCAAAGCCACCTCAAAACTCTGCTTCCCACCCCAGGAGCCCGCACCTTCAGTCTGCCTTCCCGGCCCTAAAATGCAACCACGAACAGTACCTCCCGGGGGGCCGCCAGGGATGCGAAGCTAACACAGCCAGACATGCGGCCCTCTGGCAAGCTGCAATGTCACAGAATGCCTTGGGAACCAGACAATGCCTGCCTCCCGCCTGCCAGGATCCCCTGGAGAATCAGAGTAACTGGGGGTGGGAGCATTCAAAAGGCCCTGGGGAGCTGATTTCAGGGAAAACCAGCCCAAATTACTGTGTCATGCAGACACACCCATGGGAACCATCATCAACCCAGGAATGAGGGGGGGAACCTCCCACCCTCAGAGACGCTTCCTCAGTACATTAAGTGTGGGAGGGTGCCCGCAGCTGTGTGCATGCAGGGACAGAACCAGGATCGGTCCTTTCCCCACCACCCGGTCCCTGAATCAGAGGACAAAGGGCCCCCCAGTCCCGGCACCCCCAAGGCCTCACCTGGCCTCGGTGCACTGGGGAAGGCCTGGTCAAACGCTCACCTGGCCTCGGTGCACTGGGGAAGGCCTCACCTGGCCTCAGTGCACTGGGGAAGGCCTCACCTGGCCTCGGTGCACTGGGGAAGGCCTCACCTGGCCTCGGTGCACTGGGGAAGGCCTCACCTGGCCTCGGTGCACTGGGGAAGGCCTCACCTGGCCTCGGTGCACTGGGGAAGGCCTCACCTGGCCTCGGTGCACTGGGGAAGGCCTGGTCAAACGCTCTGCAGGCTCTGCCTGAGCCCAGGCCCGGGAGACCCACACACAGCCTGTCAATATCCCCGTCTGGGGGTGGATGTCCGGAGCCGCAGGGCTGACTCGGCCCGCCCACACTGCTTCCCCTCCTGTGAGTCTGAGGAGGGTGAGGGCTCAGCCGGGCAATGGGCACCCTCCCAGGACGGGGACTCAGGACACGGTCTGTGAGAAAGCCACCCCCCTAACTGGGGGAACATCCGCCACTGGCACCTTCGGCCTTTGGTCCCATGTTTACCCTCTGGGGTTCCACGTGACAGTCACTTCCATTGTGGAGTGTGCCGAACAGGGTCCCCCCAAATTCATGTCTACTGAGAACCTCAGAATGTTACTGATCTGGAAAAGGCTCTTTGCCAATACAATGAAGTTAAGAATTTCCAGATGGGATCATGGATCAGGGTGGGCCTGAAATTCCACGAAAGTGTCACTAAAAGACACAGAAAAGGAGGGACACAGGATGAGGCCACGTGAGGCGGAAGGCAGAATGAGTGATGATGTCACAAGCCGAGGAACCACCGGAAGCGGGAAGGGACAAGGAACCCCCTCCACTGCCGGTTTCAGAGGGAGCATGGCCCTGATCTCAGATGTCTGGCCTCCCGGACTGTGAGAGACTGTCTGTTGTCTAGAGGCCCCGGTTTACGTCATGTGCTACCGCAGCCCCGAGCACCCTGCAGACAGAGCCCAGCCAGGCCTTGCTCCCTTCAGGTCAGACCTCCCTAGAGAACTCTGCCTCACGGACACGACAGGGACGTGGCGGAACAGCCGTGGCTTCGCAACCACAGGCCAAGCGAGCAGGTGCTAGGCCTCTGGGTCACG